CCCCCCCCCCCCCCCCCCATTTGACTTGAAATCGCTTTAAATTTGGGACATTTTTCTAAACAGCAAAACAAGGTTAACCTTCAGCTTTAAAGTTTTTAAACTACTTGCTTTTTATTTTAAACACAAAAGTGGGAGTTTAGATATTGTTCAGCTTTTCAATTTTAATATAGGCAGATAAGACGTGGTAATTTCAATTTCCTAAATTTTAAAAACAAAATGGCCCCAGAATTTCCACACAAATCTCCAGAAAATGAACATCAAGAAAACAGAACAACTCAGTTTTCAAAAGAAGAAAGACATTAGACTCTGCTGGTAAACAACACCTCATACTGCTGTGCAGCACTGCAATATTCTTAACTTTAAAACCCCACAAAGGTGTAAGTCTCCAATAATGTATTATGAAAGAGAAGATGCTAACTGGCTACAAAAAACCATCTTGAATTTGTAAACCCCTTAAAACAAGTGCAAGGGGATTCAAAATGTACATATTACATATTGTTTAATACACATCTTAAATCAAGATCCCTTTTGCATAGTTGGTCTGAAGTCTGGAAAAATGTGGGCAATTTTAGAAATCCAGAGTTCCGAATTTATCCAGAAAATTAGCACTTCCAAGGAAGACTACGGGGGAAAAAACATCACAGTCAAATTCTTCATTGTTTTCAGAAAACACTCCTTGGGCCCTTCATGATTCAACGGTCTAATACAACATACATTTTAAAGACAGACAAATTTCTATAACACAGTACATGTAAAAATGAAGAGTGAAAATTCAACATCATTTTGTACACTCTTTGGCGCTCAATAGAGAATGAAAAGTTAAGTACAAATAAGTCATCCTTGAAAAGATTTGGGGTTCCAGACTTTAAAATTAAGATTTTTTTCAGTCACCAAAATATGACAGTTGTTATTTCCAATATAGTTTTCATATTTTTAAAAGTCTCTTGGAATCATTTTAAAAAATAAAACTGTAGTATTAGACACCTTGAAGTAATAAATATTTGAAAAAGAAAATGTACAATTATAATACACACATTATTATTTATATGAGTAAATATATGGATGATGACAAATTTATATATATATTTATTTTTTTTTAAATCACACTCACTTTCAACAGCCGCCTCTGTTCCATCTGGATCCATCCCATACTCTAAGCTTTCTGCTATAACAGAATCTTTTATTCCACCACTGTTGATATACTCATGTTCCATACTGGCCATCTCTCAGGAAACCAAATCTGCAACAATAGTAAGGAGCTGACGTAAATTACGTAGCAATATGACCACGAAAAACCTTTTTTTTGTCAGAAAGAGTTTGCAAATAGGTGCATGGAACTTTCTGAATTTTAGAAATCCATTAATAAACAAAAAAAAGTTACCAATTTTTTAATCAATTAATTTTTGGTACACTTTTATGTAATGAAAAAACCCCAAAATATGGGACGTTCTTTGAGGAGTTTCGAGACAATATTCGTTATAACTCGCTCATTTCTCGAAGTATTTAAATGAAACTTGGCAAACCAGTACATTTTCTAGTGCAGAATCTAGTCCTGCTTTCAGATTTTTCATAGCTATCCTATTTTTTAAGTTATGAACACGTTTGTTTTGGTATTGTTTGTTTTGGTAAGTGTTCTTGCGGTGCTCTCAACTGCATAAGGTCATATGAGCGCGCGGGACACACCTAATATTTTCAGATGGTAGGAAATTTTGAATTTTGTGCGGGTGGCGGCTGAAGCCTACTTTTATCGATTTTAGACCACCAAGGGATCATTAACATGCGCAACTTGCACACGGGCCCTCCGAGATTTTTCGCCCTTGTCCGAGAAGGCTATGAGTAGATCTTTCCTACCAGAAGATCAGGGGTGTGGCAGAAAGACAGCAGTTAGGAGGAGCCTAGGAGTAGCAGTAGAAAGGCTGCAGAAAGAGTCAGGAGCCCAGAGGAGGGGGCAAAGGAGGTGAGGGGGTGGGGGCAGAAAATGGAAACGAAAGCAGACAACAGAACATTGCTAGAGAGCAGGAAAGCAGGTGAAAGGAGTCAATTTTAGAGAAGAAATTTTTCGGTCGCTACCCGAATTCGAACCCGGGACCTTTGAATGAGAGGCCAACACCTTAACCTCTAAGCCACGAGAGCCCCCTGAACATGTCTATAGGTATGTGGTGGTTTTCGGTGCGTTTTGAGACAATATTTGTCATAGCTCGCCTACTTCTTGGAGTATGAAATGAAACTTGGCAGTCTAGTACAGTTTTTAATGCAGAATCTAGTCATGCTGTCAGATTTTTAATATCTATCATACTTTTTAAGTTGTAAAGACATTGACAGGTAAAAAAGGGGCGTTCTTTACAGATTTACAAAGATTATCAGTCATATCTTCTCCAAAAGTCATGATATTTGAATGAAACTTGGCAACATAAAAGGTTCCTCCTCGCCAAGCAATGCTCTGGATCAATTTGTCACAAAAATGTAAGTAGAGAGCTGGATTTATTAGTCTAATAAATCCAGTTCTCTACAAGTAAAAGCATGCATACTTTGTAATAGAAAATAAGATCGTCTCTCTGTATATCCATTGTTGGACAGTGTCCTATTGTGTGGTAGATTTATAGCGTTTAGATAATAATATAGTTTACAAGTCATAGGAATATTTCGCATGTGTAGGCTACAACTCATACTATAAATGTAACACTTATTTACCCCCCCCCCTCCTTCTCTCTCTCTCTCTCTCTCTCGCACGCACACATACACACACACACATGCACGCAGGCGCACTCACGCATGCACGCGTGAACGATAACAATGTATAAACGGGACTACCTTCCCAGACTGGACTAAATAAGTACCATACTCTTTAATAACAATCTTAATGCCTCACTTTTCAAAACAGAGCAAACAGGACGAGTCCAAGTGTGTGCTTTCCCAAGAGGGGGGAATAGGCTTTCATAACGCAAACACAATGCCTACCACTTCTCAAGATGTTTGCTTTTCTGTTTCTATTCTTTTGTAATGCAATCAAGAAAATAAAAATGACTACATCTGTTGTATTGTGACTAAATTGCAACAAAAATACAAGTTATCAAGGCCCCCATTTAGTTGTCAAGTATCCTTTCCAATTCACATAAGCGGCGCCTCGTTTGTAGCACCCGAGGCGACCGATGGCTGATGACGTCACTCAGAGGAAATTTCACAGCCACCGGTCATTCACCCAGCATGCGCAAATGGCAATGCCGCTTTTCCCTTAGTTACTCCCACATTTTTAAAGATTACACAAAAACCGCTAATCACAGAAGCACGAAATTTTAAGGGAATAAAGAAAAATGGTGTACAATGTATCAGTCAGTTTGACAAATCACAGCTCCGAAAAATCTTCAAAGCGCACCACATCAACCGCTTTCGCAAACGTTTTCGACTGCTTCTTGGATGGGTACAAAGTTGTCAATCTGAATACTACGAGATTGACCTCTTTTCGGATTGGCTGCCAAGTTTCATTCATATCCATTCACGAGAAGCGGCATAAGAGTTTTGAGTTGAAGACAACAACCTTTGTGTTATTTCGTCCCACGAAACATCCCGGCGGCGGGGGCCAAAAATCGGAAGAACAAAACGCGCTCGGTGGGCATAGCTAAATTACTCATTAATGAAATGGCTTGCATGATAAAGTTATAAAATCAACATTTTCAAAATACAGTCAGATCTGCTTTAATAACCACCTGTACAAGACAATCACCTGTACAAAAACAATCACTTCCCACATGCATCTTTTTTCTATTAAAATGACAGTCCATGAGGACCACCTATCTAAGTTGGCCACTTCCTCAACAATGGTAGTAGATTCGTTCAACTGACTACAAATTTAAGAACATCAAAGGTACTTTTGTCTGTAAAAGACTTTTAAAGAGGACATCAGTTTTGTCTTCTTCCATCAATAGACTAGAAAGTTTCCTAACATGAAACAACAATAAGTATCTAAAAATACAAAATTACATCTTGACAAAAGCCAGGTAGTTGGGG